TATGGTTTATCAAAATTGCAAGTTTGGTTCCTAACATGTGTTTTGCACTCGGATCATCCTTACAGTATGATTTTGTTGCGTCTTTATGTTAGGGTGTCAAGTTCTCATTGGATATGGCTTACCCTCTTAGATTGTGTAATGGGTTTAGCCTTTACTATATATAAATAGTAAGTGAGTGGATCCTATTTTATAGAAGAACCGTTTGAGAGATTATTCTAGTAAGAGAATTATTACATAACCCGCTTTGTAATATCTTACTAGATCGAATGAGAGCTTAAACATTTGTAGAAGAACCGTTTGTGATTCATTTGAAGGAATGGTGTCATATAGGAAGCCTTCAATCTAATAAGTTTAAATGTATCAAACTCCAAAAGATATGTTTCAAACTTGCCAAATTTAAGTTGTGAAGAATGAGTTTGTTCTTGAATTCAATTCTTCAATATCCAAAAAGATGAAAAAGAAGAAGAAGAAGATCAAAAACAAGATAATTTGGGTTTCTAAACAAAATTCTTCAAATGTAGTTTTGATGCTGAAATCAATGAAGAAATTTTGGGTTCCAAAGCAAAAACCATCAAATTTTATTATGGAATTGAATTCCAAACCCAAAATTGTTGAAGATTCTCAAATTCGTTATGAAGATGAAGTTTGATCTTAGAGAAATGAGAAGAAGTTCCATGGATGGTACAATGTGCATCATGGATGGTACAATGTGAAATTTGGAGACTTCATAATTCCATCCAAGGAACCTAGATCTTCCATGTATGATTCTTTCATTGCAAATTGAAAAAGGATGTTCAATAAGGTTTTGCAAATTCTCAGTGGATTCCGAAAAATTCATGTTGAGATCGATACCTTGTTTACTGAAGAATCAATGACAAAATCAAGATGATGATGAATAAATAGTACAAAAGTTGAAATATCAATGTTCATCTTATCCAAAATTTGAGCTCAAATCAAATCTTGTTACTGTTCATTTTCAACCCAATTCGTGTATTCCGTTAGTTCAAAATCGGATAAATAAAAGATTTAGAAAGTCAAAATTTGACTTATTATTGATTATCTCATTCTCAGTTCAAGGCTTGAGGTCACAGTCTTCATGATGAAGATCAAAATTTGATTGTCACAGATGAAGGTGATTCAAGAAAGGTCAATGATTGATTGAAGTTTTGTTGATGGTTCGATGCTTTATTGTACTGGGATAGATAAAGTTCAAGGTTTGAGAATGGAAAACTAAGATTTTGAGCTTGGATAATGAACAAATTCGATGTTGAAATGGTTTCGCAACAGCATCACAACTAGGAAGAGGACTCGCAAGTTCTTATTTGATTTCACAAAAAGATTGAGAATTGAAGGTCTCGCAAGCATTATTGGTATATGTTCTCGTTTGATAGTAAAAAATGGGATGAAGCTTTAGGGTTTCGTATCTGAAAGAACAAAACAGATATCGAATAACTTGCATTCAAGTTTGCATATGGATTCCGATGTTTTATTTTGGTTGTGAATCAAAGATGAAGATCTAATTTGAAATCGAAGTGAACAATCAAAATTCGTTCTTATTTTTTTGGAAACATAGAAGGAGATACATTGAAGAAGAATGTATACGTGAAGGATTGAAAGGATTAGAAAAACGCTAGGAATCGAAAATCAAGTTCTTAGGAATCAAATATATATGAGAATCGGTTTTGATTTGGATATCAATTTGGATTGAGAAAGCTTGGGAACGAAAGTCAAAGCTTAATACTTAAAATCAAAGAATGTGTGTTCGATTATGATGGAATAGCATGGACTTAAACATAAATTGTTTGATAGTCAAATGTATTTTGGGTTTCATGGTTGAAATCACATGATTGGAATTGAAAGCGTATTCAATTGGAGTTACTTCAAGTCGAACATACCTTGCTTGGATTTAAAATCAATTTCGACTGATGTTGGTTGTTGTGTCCGAGTTGAAAGTGTTTTCGGTTTGGAGTCAAAAGTGTTTGCTTAGGTCGAAAATCAAGGTTGATTTTGAATAGTATGGAAACTTCATTGGAGTCGAATTCAACTGATAGTGTTGTTCATTCGTGTCTAGAACGAATTAGGAAAGAAGATTCCATGTTTTAATTCGAGTCCCTGTAGTTTTAGCATTTTGACTGTTTATACCCAATTTCGAATTTGGGGTATATTTCTGTGAAATGGGAAGATTTTTCAGATTCAGTCCCTGAAGCTTATGCAAAATGACACTTTATACCCAATTTCGCATTTGGGGTAACATTCTGCATTTGAAGCTGATTTTTTACAACGGGTCCCTGCAGTATTTACAAAAAATGACAATTTGTACCCAGTTTTCAAATTTCTTGTAACTCTCACCTAAAAGTCAAAATCTTCACAACTTTTGAAGATTTTTTCCTTGGCTTTTCGTGGTTTCATTTTTGTCATACATCGAGGGGAGTTTCGTATGGTTTATTCCTCGATCACTTCTTATACCCTTGTGAGTTTTATAATCATTTGTTGATAATAAACAGGGGGAGAATGTTGAAATGGGTATTCAAAGATTATTGGATATTCTTTTTCAAAGTGAATTTGAAGACCGATGTTACTTCAAGGGGGAGTTGGTCTTGATCGCTTGGATCTCATTTGAATATTGAAGCTGGGACATCCAATCCTAACTTTGAGAAGATGGGGGGGGGGAATGTTAGGGTGAAAAGTGTGACCCTCTTAGATTCTGTAATGGGTTTAGCCTCTCCTATAAATAGGAAGTGAGTGACTCCCATGTTATGGAAGAACCATTTGAGAGATTAGTTTAGTGAGAGAATTATTATATAAACCACTTTGTAATAGCTTACTAGATCTCGTGAGAGGTTAAACAAGATTATTTACATTGTGTGTTCTTCAATATTGTTTGTGATTCACTTAATCATTACAATTTTGCATTCGTCATCATAATTAGATCCCTGCCAAATGTAAAAAAACAATTTTACCCTTATTGAATTTAATAAAATAAAATATTGGCCTATTTGCAACCCGAACTACCCATCTCGGATTTCCTTTTACCTGATGTACTTTATCTTCCTTCTATATGTAAGATTTTCGGGTCTTAGAATATTAATTAACTTGGATAATTTTGGGGATCGTGATTGCAATCACTTTCCAAAATCTGTGATTTCGACCCTTATGCCTAGGGTAGCATGAAATATGATTTGGGATAATCCAAGAGATGCAATTTGGAAATCGGGCCACTTCCAAATTCGAAACATAGAAAAATATACCTTGCTATTTTGTGTTCTTTCGAGATGGAAAGAACTAGAAGTATGATGTCGAGAGTAAGTTTTGTAACATGTTTTCTGGAACATGTAGTATGCTCTTATACAGTAGGGAAAAGTATTTGGTGGTATTTGCATGCAATTTTGGTGCCAAAACAAGTGGTTGGATATATAGTTATAAGACATACCCGATTCTGACATCACATTGATGCCACCACTTATAATTGGCAGGGAATGCATGGTTGGAGCTTAACTCGTTATAAAAACTTGTTAGGGTTTTAGAGCGTTGCCCCTTGGAACCCTGCTAGGGGAACTGCCACTAGACCTCGCCAAGGGGTTATAGCCCCTTGGAACCCTGCACTTAGGGGTGCTGCTCCCTGACCCCTGTATTTCCGAGTTCACATTTATCATACCGAGTGTGCACCCTACACCCCAAGCTTGGTTATTAAATGGATTTCGACCTATCTCATTATTAATAATAATTACACCAAAATATGTTAATAACAGTAAAATCACCAACACCATAAACCCTAGATCGGCTACCGTCTTGCAACTCACTGAACTTTCTCTTCTTCTCTTGACTCACATTAATGACAACCACATATCACTGATTCCCAGCCAACGACAACCCTCTCTCAACCACTATCAGAGACCACCATCTTATCAGATTATGGATTTTTCTAGTTTGTTTTTGGGATTTCAACATAGCAGTTCAAACGTTCAGAATGGTTCCATGTTCGATTTGGGGAAATATGGTTTGTTTTGTGTTTTTTAGTTCGCCTTTGGGAAATTCAGGATTGTTTTTGTGTTTTTTTATTCGTCTTTGGGGAGATTTGGCCAATGATAATGAACTAAGAGAGTGTCACTTTTAACCTCAAGTTAGGTCTTACGTTTTGGGTTGTGATTTCTAGATTTGGTTTTGATTTCAGCTTAGATTAAGATTTCATGATTTCGGGATGTAACTTTGGTTAGGTTTTGACTTCGAGATTTGATCTTGGTGTGGTTTTAATTTATGGGTTCATGTTTGATTTCTGAGATTTAATCATGAGGTGTCACATGATGAAATCGATGATGTGGGTGGTGGTGGTACCATAATAAGTAGATGGTGATGATGTTGTAATGGGCGGATGGTGGTTTCTGGTGATCGGTGGTTGTTATGATGGAAGTGGAAGTAACCACACTAGGACTCACATGTCTACAAATCATTTAATTGTTTTTTAATTAACAAATAATAAATAAATAATAATAAAATTGAAAAATAAAAATAAAAATAAAAATCACAAATATTAAGGACCTAACAATGCAATTTTAAGAAACCACACCATGACTTCAATAATTTATTCATTTGATCTTTGAGTAAATTACTGAAATCGTCGATGTGGTTTGATAAAAATTATGTGTTTTGTCTCTAACATTTTTTTTTACATTCGGATCGTCCTTGTGGTATCATTTTGTTACATTTTTCATCCCTCACATACATGAAAAGACTACATTGCCTTATTTATTTATTTTTAATTTTTATTTATTAATTAATAATTAAATAAACTTTAAAAAATAAAAAATAGGCATTGCCCTATCCTTAGCTCTTCTAAACCTCTCTTTCACTATATATCGTCTCACTTGATTCACTCATAATGACGACTTTTGAAGAGTATAATCGATGTCCACCGGACTGCCACCAGAACTACTAGATTGCGGCTGGAAGTATGAGATATCACTAGAGTAGTATTTTGATGCTTGTGTACAACAAGAAAGAGGATGAATGCCATCATTGATTCACTGTCAGATCTGCACTCTGTTCAATCACCGGATCGCCTCCCTGAAATCAACGCCGCCATCACAATGTTCAATCACTGGTTTTTGACAGTGATGGTTCGATTTTAGAATTGATGGTGGCAGTCAGGTTTGGTAAATTTGATTTCAAGTAAGATAAAGGATTTTTATGGGTTTGATTAGTCTGGAAGTTTGCATTAGGTTGATTTTTCTGGATTGCATAAGGTTTAATTTTTATAGATTTGATGGATTAGAGTTCAGGTTTCTAGGTTTCCAGTGGATGGTGATGATTATCGGTTCTTTTTGTGGGGAAGGTGGTGGTGCTCGTCGGTGATCTACTGGAGGAAAGAGTGAAACAAAGTACGTTAGAGTTCTGTGTTCATCGAGCTGATAAAGGAGATGTGGCGTTTAGGATTTCGAGAAAGGCATGGTGGATAAGCAGTACCAGGAGAACATGACGAAACAGAGAAGAAAGATGTTGATTTCCGATTACAATGGTTTGGTTTTTATTTCAGGGTAAGTTTTTAGACTCAGTTTTGATTTCAGGTATCGATTTATGGTTTTGATTTCTGGTTAGGTATTCGATGGCAGACATGGTGGAAGCAGTGGAGGATGACAACGATGATCACAATTTGACTTCAACTTTTAGCTTTAATTTTTTTTGGTTGACTTTAGTTATTTTCATTTCAAACTAAGTTCAGTTTTGAGTTTTGTTTCTGGTTACAGGGGAGGAAGACAAAGGGAAAGAGAAAGGAAAGAATGGAAAATAAAAAAGAAAAAGAAAAAGAATGATTTCAATGGTGTCATTAGATTTACGGTGCTCACTGAAGTATGTGGTTCTGGTGTTCGTCGGACTTCGTTAGCGGAGTTGAGAGATGGTGAATTAAGAAAAAAAAAATGCTAGAGGAGATGAACGTAGAAGATGGCATTAGGGTATGATAGGGTAGGGGTTGGGGAATAGGGAGGGTGGGACCCATATGTTGAAATTAATAAATAATCTATTATAGATTTAAGTTCCATAAGAAAGATTTACATAGACATAGCGGGCAAACGAGCAACAAGCTGTGCCGCAACCCCTTTTTGGATGGCAAAACTAATTTTTTTGAAAATAATATCTATAGATCTAGGAGTCATAACATTATTATGCATGACTCGTTGGACTCTATTGAGTAGCTCCACAGCTTCTAGCGCAAGGAAACCAAAAGTATCAAATGCAAAGGGTATAATCGTGTGTTGATTTTCCATGCACACTTTTTCATGTTTTGCCACTTTGCTTGATGCAACTTTTAAAACAGTTTGCCCCACAGTGAAAACTTCACTCCTCAAGCCCACAAAAGAGGAAATCCCTGTTATTTCCACACATGAATGTTTTCCTCCAGCCCATCCAAATACTAAAACATCAGTAGGTCTAAGTGTTGATCTTCCTTCCAATGGGTCAGTCAGAAAGTTCACATGTGCCTCTTTCTTGGCAGAACCCCAGTGCGCCTAAATATGTCGAAAAGAACATCCCTAACCAGATCGTGTCGGTACTTGAAACCTAGGAGCTCTTTACAATGAATTGCATGCTCCCCGAATGAGTCAAAGCATGCCTTGCGACAAACATTGCAAGTCTCGTCAGCCGGAAATAAAGGGATCATTAGGCGATACTTGAGGATAACACGATACTCCACTGATAATATAGTCTTTTCATGTATGTGAGGTACGAAAAACGTAACAAAATGATACCACAAGTACGATCCAAATAAATAAATAAATAAATGTTAGGTACCAAACGCGTAATTTTTACCAATCCAGAGAACCGACATCGGTAATTTACTCTTGATATTTTCTCCGGGAGGCCGCCACCAATCACTTAAAAATCACACCTTTATAACTGGAAACCAGCACGCCTCCACATCCTCCGCACGCCTATCAAAGGGAAAGAACGAGCACTCATCAACCCAACTACGACAATCACCTCCCCTGCCACCGCCACAACGGAAATCCCATCGAAATCTGCAATCATTGAGTCCGATCGAAAGAGGAAGGAGCCTGTAGATCGGGCCGCTGCTGGAGATCATCGAAGTAAACACAAACACAACCACCACCACCACCACGACAAGAAGTCGAAAATGTCATCGTCATCTTCGTCTGATAAAGTTAGGGCCTCGCACATACTGATAAAGCACGAAGGATCTCGGCGTAAGGCTTCGTGGAAGGATCCAGAAGGTCGAATCATCAGCAACACCACAAGAGACGCAGCTGTCTCTCAGCTCAAGACACTCCGCGATGACATAGTTTCGGGGAAGTCTAAGTTCGAGGATGTTGCATCTCGTTACTCCGATTGTAGCTCTGCTAAACGCGGAGGAGATCTCGGTATGTTCTAACCTTCTACCTTCTAGGGCTTTTTTTTCATCATATAATTATTTGAAATTGAGTGGACCTTAGATGTTTAAAAATTAGAATCATAAATATAGCTTTTAAAATGCTGAAAAACTGGTAATCCAGGAAAATTCTCAATGAGAATTCGTTGACACTACGATTAAGCAGAATAAAGTACCATAGAGGGCAACAAAGATAAATGTAATTCTCACCCAATTTGGTTAGATAGCTTAATTTTCAGTGAATGTATGACTCAATTGGTGAAATAAACTAGGATTAAAAAACTACCAATGTATTGAATATATGCTACTATTTTTTTAGGATATATGGGATTTCAGAATTTGAGTTTTTGACTTCCTTGTTTGCTTTCCCTTTTGTGTTTTGTACCCTTTGCCATATATACCTTATATGAGTTTTAGTAATTGTTGCATAACTCTGATGCAGGTTCATTTGGAAGGAAACAGATGCAGAAGCCATTTGAGGAAGCAACTTATGCATTGAAAGTGGGAGAGATAAGTGACATTGTGGATACTGATAGTGGTGTTCACATCATCAAGAGAACCGGTTAACCAAGACTCTGCTTTTATAGCTAAGTGGTAAGACTCATCTAAACTTCTGTTGCTGTTTTCCCATCTGATTTGTCTTGAGATAATTCAGGTTTTCACCATTGATCTTACTCAGATTGGCATCTAAAATCATAAAGTTATTAACTTGATCATAAAACATTACATATCTACATTGATCAAGCTATAAACGTACATCCATTTAGATGAAATTTGCTACTGCAATCTAGTCGAGTTGTACCACTTAATATAAACGTACAATCAATAGTTTTAAAAAATATCATATTCTAAGATATTAGTGAAAATGGTCATTATTTTGTTTGTTCCAACTTCTGATATAAGTTTATTGGCTCACATTCCTTAATTAAATTTTATTCATTGTTCCAGGAAAAAAAGGTGCCACTCTTCTGCGATTAGAAGCAACGAGAGATTATTACAACTTAGATCTCATGCGCTGAATGTAATAGATTGTAATCTGCATTTATGGACATATTTGACAGTTTATTTGTTTGCATTCCTGAATATTTATGTTGGATTTTATGTTTTAAGAGGAGTCAATAATTGCATCGAAAAAATATATAATAGATAATGAAAGAAGCTGTCTACGTTATGTAATACCCATTAGTATGATTAGTTGGATATGTTCCTAAGAAAAATAAATTATGTTTCTAAAATTGTGTAGAGTAAATATTATTTACAAACCTGTAAATAAGGTGTTTGACAATTAGTTTCAGCATAAAGAAAGTTGGATTGGGTTTTGTATAGATGAAATGACAATATTCTTTATTGATTTGTGCCTATTATAGCAAGATTGTTGGAATGATCCACAAAATTAAAATAATTCTAAATTGGTAGATTTTCGTGACTATAAAGTCATAATAAGAAAAATCTTGATTCCAATGGCTTTCTCTGCGGCTCTTTTCCTTCATTCCAACGTCTTGTAATGACTCTTTCCATTCTTCATTCCAACGGCTAGATTACAAGGGCTTTTTATTTATTTATTTATAAATCAACTACTATAAATACTATACTATCTAACAATCATTTCACACAAACACTACACTTTATACTACCAAAAAGAATCCAAACAACTTCCCACCAATCTCACCCCAAGATCCGACCGAAACAAGTCGTGCAAGTGGTTCTACAACACTGGGTTGAGTGTTCTCATTTTTGATTTGTGGGTTTACAGACCACAACTTAATATCCCTATATTTTCACCGTACCAAACCCTTACTCCAACACAACAATTTCACAAGCAACAAATACCACAATATTACTCTATGCCACCCTTTATCCAACCGTCTTCTAGAAAAAATCCCCTCTCACCGAATATGTTCTGGGAAGCCAACCTTCGACCGAGACGAAAGTCGAATTGTTCAGGAAACACAACCCGAATCCGACTCGTACCATCCGAACCCAAAGGAAGAGGAAAGGGGAAAGCAACAGCTAAAAAAAGAAAACAACGGAAATTGGAAGAAAAGAAAGTATCTGCGGAATCAAGGGTTGAGATTTTCCAAGGATCTCGAGAACAGAAATACGTAAGCTTACAAACATTTTTGGTGACACATTACAGAGCGGTTTTCTAACGAAGTTGGTTGTGACAGGTATATTGGACAGAGCACCAATGTACGACCAACTTTCGTGAACTCAACAAAATGGTTACAATGCTCAACGGGACGTACAACAACTTGACGAGCCTAAGAAAAACTAGCAAAACATTACATATATTTTCAAGACGATGCTTGAAATATTTAAAATCGAAAATAATCCGAGGCCATTAAAATTTGTCGACGTTTAGAAGTTTTTATCCAATCACCAAAAAATGCAAGGAGGTTTATGGAAACAAAGAATAAAGTGGCTCAAAAAGAACTAAAAATTCTAAAACAAGTAATACAACTTCAGAAGATGCTCGTTTCGGGTTGTCTTGAACAAAGATGACCAGTTTGAGCTCAAAGAGATAGTCAACACGATTGGTAGAGATAAGGCAAAAACGAGAGGTGTTTCGTCTAATACATTAGGATCCAACAAAGGTGATTACATTTGCAATGTGATAAGTAGCTTCGAAATATATAAATTTGAATTTCTAAAGTCATTAGCAATTGTACAATGAGAAAAAAAAAAGTTGAGGTGGAAAGGCAAAAAGAACAAAAAGAAAACAAAAAATTATAGATATAAAAATTTAATGCAAAACATCGATCATCTTTCCAGAGACGAACTTGTGATGGTTTTGATGGCAATAGAGAAAATTATGAATAAATATTTAATTAGACTTGTTTTCTGTTGTTTTTTAATTAATGATCACTTTTTACTGTGTAATGATTTTGATTAATAAATTAATGAAATATTTCTTTTTTATCATTTCAAATATTTTGAAAATTATTAAAATTTAATTTCTATATTAAAAAAAGATAGTAAAAAATGACCATTTTATATCAGTAAGTGAAATGGAAAAACGACATTATAAATAAAAAAATTAAGATATAAAATAGTACATCCATTAACCTAAATGTTCATTTTGAACATTTAGACTTAGTAGCATTCATACTATATTAAAGAAATCATAGTATTTATATTTATGTAGAATTTTGAAAACTAAATTCATAAAATATATAAAAACATTTGAATCACATAAAATATGTTACACATGCTTCACATGGGTCGTATGCGTCTGATTTGAGTGTCGTTTTTGTTTATAGATTAACAGTCATCATTGTTGACTTTTTTAGTTGACTTTTGATTATTTCCATAGATAAACAAACAGAGACAGATAGAGAGATGGCAGAAAAAAAAACAAAAATAAGTACAAATAAATATGATGATTAATATAGAAAAAATATACCAAAAAGAAGAAAATGACAGAGCGTTGAAAGTGCAAGGATGAAAAACATCAAAAAAACATAAAGGGACCAAAGTTGTCAATTCCGTAAAGTTTTGTGACTAAACTTTTAATATTAAAAGATTTCTAAAAAATATAAAAACTTTGAATTTCTAAAGTCATTAGCAATTGTATAATGAGAAATTGACCGAAAAAATAAAAGTTCGGGTGGAAAAGCAAAAAGCACGATAAGGAAAACAAAAAATTATAGATATAAAAATTTTAACGCAAAATATCAACCATCTTTCCAGAGACAAACTTATGATGATTTTGATGGGAAAAGAGAAAATTATGAATAAATATTTAAGTAGACTTGTTTTCTGTAGATTTTAATTAATGTTCGTTTTTTACTATGTAATGATTTTGATTATTAAATTAATGAAATATTTCTCTTTTGTCATTTTAAATATTTCAAAAGTTATTAAAATTTAATTTCTATATTTAAAAGAAAAAGATAGTAAAATGATTGAAGGTCGAAGTAAATGATTGAAGGTGCCACGGTGGAAGTATATGATAAATGAAAAAAATAGCAACGCACTTTTACTTTACATCTTTATTTATTTATTTATTTTTCTAATCTCTTTCAATTTTCTTCATCGAAAACCAAATTATATTTCCATTTTGTGCGTTCTCTGTATTTAGGTGGTAAAATTACTAAATAGGAATGTACTTTGCATCTTTGTTTCGATTCTTTTACGAAAAACCAAAGTATATTTCCATTGATACAATTTCCATAATTAGGGATAATTATCGTATGTGTTAGGCGGAGGCTGTAACGCCCGCAGATCTGGGATAATCAAATTAGGGACAATGAGCGTCAAAAATGAGTTTTTAATGGAATATTATTTAGAATGATTAATCTTAACAAAGTTGTAGTATATGTTACAAGGATTTCGTACATATAAAAAACGCTGAAATCGGGTTATAACGAAGAAGTTATGGCATATCGAAGTTTTACGGCAAAATCGACACGACACCGGGAGACGTAAATAGTGAATTTACGATAGAGGACTTTTTAGCCTTAGTTATCTAAACAAAAGTTGTAGTATATGTTAAACGGAGAACATACAAAAAAAGAACGCCTAAATCTGACTTTGTATGAGGAAGTTATGAAATTTCTAAGATTTGACATTGTAGTGCACGACTCGAAACTCAAATTTTAGTTCGAGTGGTTTTTGGCCTATGAGACCTAAATGAGAGTTTAAGATCTTATTAATAGGAACTCAATGATAAAAATAAAAACGAAAACGGAGTCCGTATGTAGAAGTTATGAATTTTACGTGGACATTTAATAGTATAATCTTCTCCTACTGTTAAATTTAAGATCAGCAAAAAACTAGCCAACGGAATCAAAATGAAAGTTGTAGATCTTTATTTTACCTGCACGTGGATATAAAGAACGTTCAGAACGGAACTCGTATGCGAAAGTTACGAATTTTAGAAGTCGGAAGTGTCCTGTACGAAAATGGGTGACGTGGCACAATATTGACCATTGCTTTCTCCCCAAGTCTTGCCACCAGATGGTGACATGTGGCACCAAGTTCAGCCATACTTCACGCTAAAAATAGAACCTCTCACACCCTCATATTCTTCACACCTTTCCCATTCTTTCTTTTCTCTACACTCTTTCTAAACCTTCCAAAACTCCCCTAGCGCTAGAAGAAAGCCCCGAAGCGCTCGGCGGCTCCGAGAAGAAGAGATTTCGGCTCAAAAGTTCTGCCCTTGCAGATCCCGACTTCTAGCCAAACCCCCTCGTAGGTAAGATACGCCTACACTATTTTAAATATAGTTTTGATTTAAATATAGTAATGTTATTATGACCTTATAATAAATATTTGAGCTATTATTATGAGCTATATAAGTGTCATTATAATATCTTTTTAACCACTCGCATTACGGGGAATCTGATTTGGAGGGCCGCTTGGGTTGCCAAATTTCAGAAGAGCTATATGCCAAAATGATCCTACCCTCTGGTGTTCCATGTCTGGCCCCTGTCTGTACATAGTGGGTGAAAAGTATCGTGTTAACGCTTATATAATAGTAATAATAGTTAGACTATTAATTAGTCTCTTCGAGCATTAGACTAAACTCTAGTGATAATGATACCAAGTTCTGTCAAAGGAGTTGTTTAAAGTAAACGAAGTGTCGTCTGAGTGTCGAGTCACCACCTTTTCAAGTGAGTGCATGGTCCCTTTCCTCTTACACATAGATATGAAGTATTTTTTTTTATAAACTACGTGCTATGTGTGCATATTATCTGTATACTTGCTATCTATGCTGGCTGAACGATTTTATACAAGTTTTATATGATTTAAACTTTATATGTATTTATATATACATAATATGTTGGGTAAAACATGGGTAGATGAAATATAAGTTGGATGATGAGTTGAGAGGTGATATAGACCATGAAATAGTGGTGAGATGCGGACGATGTGAGAAGCCTTGTTCCTAAATGTTGTCCCCGTCATCTAGCAGAGTATGGATAACAACCACAAACTATTCTAGACAGTCCAGTGGAACACTAGCAGGCTCGCAACCTGTAGGTGCAGTGAACGATGTGTTCACTGGTGTATTCTAAAAACCCATTGACATGTATTGTGAGTGGACTCTCGAAAACGATACTGTCAATAAACAAGATAACCCTAGCAGTTGTGCCCGAAGGACAATATTGGTAGCTGCACCTCATAGAGAATGTCATAATTCTGGCAGCTGCGCCTAAGTGATGGAACTAGCACCTGTGCTTGACAGCTGTGTCATTGACAACGATGGAATTCGTACCTATTCCTTAGGATAATTCTTAGGAATGAATGAATGAGAAATAGTTGATTCTTAAGGTAGATCCTTAAGAGTAAAGAAGATAATGGGGATGGGTAATTGGGTGA